ATATATATATATATATATATTTAGTTATCAAAACAATATTTAGGCAGGATGACATATACAAACGAGATGGTAACGTTGTTCTACAATATGGTCCTGCTATAATACCATAAACAACATACAAGGAGGCTACCTAAAACAATACAATATTTATACATACGCCTAGTAAGCTATCCGTGTAGTACTATTATTGTGTTGTCAGTCTAGCATTTTAAACAAAACAGATAAATATACTGATATTATATTCACTATGGGCCTTTTTTTTTAATTCTGACATTTAATCTCTAAAATTAGCTTCCGAAATTAATCAAATTAATCATTTCCCTTTGTTACCTATCAGTCTCTTATTTGAGTTAAATGAAAAGAATATGAATTGTTATCTCCATCTTTCTGTTTTAGACATAGACAACTTTGAAGAGTGAGCAGTCAACAATACTCTTAAATTATATCCATTGAAAATCAATATAATACTAGTATCAGCTAAAGTCATATCTTATTGAAATTTCGTCCATAGCCATTGTTCATTTATATATCAATATTATTGTTAATATTTATAATTTGAATAATAGTATTAGTGTGTGTATTTGTGCAATATCAGTCTAAGCTGACATCCGCAGATTCAAATTCTCACCGATAATAACAAAGACGGTATGGGTGTCTTGCGTTCTATGTGGATCATCGCAAGAAGCGCGGGCAGGTGGCCGTCCCGGGCTGCTACGAAATTCAATCTGAAAGAAACAAGAGAGACTGACTCTAGTGAACTTCTGACCTAGAGCCTAGATATTATAACCCCATAGGACAGCTGGATCGGCTAGTTTATCCCGCTGCTTTGATGCTCAAACTTGTGGACACAATCATATGATATCAATACAATATTTTACATGTTAAAATGCATCTCAATGTGCTTAATCAAGTTCAATATTGGAGACCGAGTAAGATTATGAGTTTCAAAAAATCTAACATAAATTTTGAGAAGTGACGTGCCATTGTGCGAGAGGAAAATACCATTCAGAATTAAGTCTATGTAAATAAGGTTACACTGTGCACACAGTCAATCAAAGAATTAAATAACAGAGAGTTTTGGTTGTTTCATTATAACATCAGATGGATGAATACCATCCTAAATTTTTTTTTTTAAATCGTCAAATGATAAGGAGTCAACCTATGAATAATATAACAAGTGAATTCGTAGTTTTGAACTGCGCATGCCCGTAAAAAACGAACATACACACAACATTGGTTTATGTCGATTGACCTTGGTACGGGCATGCGCAGTTCAAACTACGAATTAGCTTATTGCATTAGTTGACGCACGCACAACATTATTTATAGTCTATATGGAGCTTTTATCCTTACCTTGAACCGAGTAAAAATCCGCCATTGGCCGTACCAAATACTGACAGAGCAACGCCTACTGGGATTAGAAATGCCGCTGATCCTAACACCTTGTAACCGAATGTCTAGCGAAAGATTGAAATTAGGAGGCCTATGTAAAAGTGACTAATTGATAATAAATATTAACGTATTACTTTAGGAAGTGTGCATAATTAAGCATAGTTTTTAAAAATTATTATTTTCCCACTTAAAAGTCTAAAGCGAAAGGTTGATTGTGTTACCATTTACACTAACATCAGAATCTATATAATAGTTTATCGTAAACTTACACATCTCGGCCTACAAACACACATCAATGCATACAAACATACACCATTCATGCATGCACCATACATCCATACAAGGTTTAGTTTCGTTAATCATTATCACTGATACTCGAATACATGCATTGATTTGATGTGCATTAAGCTCCATTTGGCTGCATATCAACATATTTACTTATGTTAATATTTTAATCCAACAATTCATTATTTTACTTGGCCGGTCAGATTCAATCTTACTAAATAAAAAAAAAATTATATGTAATTAATTTTTTGCTTCTAAATTGTATGATTACTTTGGTACTATATAGTTGGCCTAGGCCGTGCGTGCATTTTATCATTATTTTTGGCAGCTTGGATAGGTTAATGATGCACAGGGACATCGCATTCATCCATTCCTTGTGTCCTCAAAACACTTGCGCGGAACATTAATAACTATTTTTAATAATAACAACAGAATCTTAAAATTTTTATGAGATGAAT